ATGATTCCAACTTTCAGGGGAAGGGGGGGGGGTGGACGGGTTTCTCAGCAGTACACAAAACCTGAAGTGGAGTCCACATGGAATGAACTCCACTCGTTAGGTAGCAAGGGAGAGATTAGCTGCTGCAGGTCTCAGTGGTTTTGTTTAATATGAAGAAACATTCATACTAAATTTAGAAGTTAATTTTTGAACTGGCGAAATAGCCATTAATGAGCAGGGCTTTATTTTTGGCAATGTTGTTTGTTCGAGGGTAACATTTTAACTATTTTGTATTTTGGTTGATTTGTCAATGTTTTTGCAACTACCCATATGCTTAATTTTAGACGTATACGCAATAATTGCAAATCAAAATAAATAGCTCACTTGTTGATGCTTTAGGGTAAACATTCACAAGAAGGTTATTTTAGACAAAAGCAATTCTTACAAAACAACCATTTGGGAATTATTCTCAGAATGACTGGGGCTCTTCTTGTGCATATGCCTTATTGTTTATTATGCACACAAGCTGCCTAAACACTCAAGGTGGACAATTAAAGCAATTATGCAAATAATTCAGGCCACAGGACATTCAGAACACGGAAGAAAAAAATAAGCTAATATTTCTAGATTTTTCTCTCTCTCTTTCATTCCTTTATGCAATCCCCTCCAATCCCTTCTCTTCTCCTTATCATGAGTGGCCACAGCCTTTGGTAACAGGATTGATTTTATTTGTATTTGTCCATAAATTTTGCAATCCCGCCTGACAGTTCTTGCTTCATGCACCAACGAGGCAAATGTCCTGCTCGTGCCGGGATTCATTTCCAGGCATCTGACAGCTCAGCTCTCAGGCCAGGACCGCGGTCCTCAGAGCGCCCTTCCCTTGTGCACACACAGCTCATCTCTCATCCTCGCCCCGGCAGCTCTGAGAACTGAATCGATGTCACAGCTTTCTGACTTTCTCAGAATCCCAGATCACTCACTGAGCCCCCTTGTCCACTCCTCTAACAGATCCCGCATCTGGCACTCTCCTATGAACTCCGGAGGAATGTTCACAAGCAAAGTGAAGAATGGAAAGAACTCATACCGAGAAATGGGCTTCCTAGGAGAATGCCTCTTCTGTTTTCTCAACCAGTAAAGAGTACTTTCCTCCCCAGAATGGCCTGGACACTTAATAGAAGAAATGAATTCCCATGAGCACTAAAAAAAAAAAAAATTACTAGGTCTGTTTTTCACGTAAACCAACCTATCTTATCCTATTTGTCCATACACAGGCTTTTCTGAAAGGCATTTAATTGACTGGAGTTGAAAACCACCATCAACCACAGCTTAGGCTACACAGGCTGGTAGAGACTTTGGGTTTACAGTAGTTTGATCTGAAGTCTTCAGGGAAATTTTCTAGTCATCTTTGTGACATGGTTTGCAGTGACCATGGACTTACTGTTCTTCGTAGCAGCTGATCTATTACATGGGCAGTGCTCTTGCTCCATATATTCATTGGTAAATTTTGAAATAAGAAAATGAGTATGGAACATCCCTTTTTACACATCAATTTGGCTGCCGTGAGGTTGAATATATGACACATATTGCAAATCAAGTCACATTTATGTGAATCAGAAGAGTTGCCCATTAAAAGGAATGCTTCTCTAATCCTATGTCATGCAAAAAAAAAAAAAAATCATTCCGTTGAGGCAATGAATGAACACTTGATAATTTACCGTTTTGGTAAATTCTCACTTTCATGACATACCTATAATCACGACTGAAATGCGAAAGCAAGGGTGAGACAGGATGGCTGCACGAAGTGGAGCAACTATCACACACACACACACACACACTCACACACACTCACACTGATTTCTTCAATTTTTTTTTTTCTGTTGAAAGTAGTTTGGGAGCCTGAAATATTGATAATCAATTCAATTATCCTTTCTGAGTGTGAATAGATGACAGAACCCAGTTCTTGTGCCTTGTTTTGGAATATTCTTTCTTCTGTTCTATTTTCCCCCCTTTTCCCTCTAACCATCATGTAGAGAAAACCTGGAATTCATACTTGTGAAAAGGCAAAATATGATAAAAATTGAGATGCTCATTAAAACTTCACAGCCAGCAGCTTCGGCACCCTTCTCCTTAACTTGAGCATGTAGGATTTCCACTTTGCTCTACTTTCTGGGTTTTAAATTCTTTCTTACTTTCCTCTGGCTTCCCTACACAAAGTACAAAATGCTAATTTTTTAGACTTAACTATTTTTGCTTAAAACCTGTATGACCACACTAATGTATTTAACAGTTACAAAGTGTGTTTAAATCTCTTTTAATTTAAATGACGTTAAATAGTAAACACTCACAATTGAATGTTTTTCATATAAAGATATTGACTCATATTGTTTTAACTTACAGCATTGTTCTTAAGATAAAGTACCCAAACCTTATGTAGTTCTCCTGGTCAAGTCAATATATACTTGTTGACTTGTATATGTGAAAACGGTAAAGCATATTGAATGATACAGAAATGAATAAGGGATAGCCACTGCCTTCCAAAAGCTCCAATGGCTGAGACATATAAGCCATGAACTACAGAATATCTTAGAATGGAATTGTTGCCAAAGCACACAAAGGGAGTGAGTACAGCGATTTTCTAATAAATAAATAAATGAATGAATAAATAAATAAATAAATAAAATAGGATGTCTTAGCAAAGGAGGGACATTTGTATTGGACCACGAGAGCTAAAAAGAATAATTTTGGTTAAACAGTTAAAAAGAAAAGTATTGCACAATGAGAAATTTGCTTTAATTTCCCCCAAGAATTATCCTAGAAAGTGATCAATTTGTAAGACCAAATGTACCAATTTAACCATGGTTTCTGACAATTAGTTTTTAAAATGAATTGTACTGCCTTCATTTAGGTGTATTTAAAAATACCTTTTAAAGAGAATTGCCTTTTCTCTTTTTCTCCCTCTCTGTCTCTGTACCTTTATACAGGAATACAGTTACCTCAGGCTTTCCTAACTAAGTGGATTGTTGTTTAAACTGTGTAAATTATTGTGTGTTTCTTGTATCTTTTATCTTGGATCTCAATTCAAATACATGAGAATTCAGTGCTGATAAATCAACACCTGATCTGACTATCATGAAAAATCACCTTTTAAAGCAGCACTCGACATTTCATGGCTGTTTGCTCCAAGCCACTTATTTTTCATTCCCCTTCAAAGTTTCTATTTAAACACACCTCTTTGTCATATGCTGATAAATATTAAAATAACAGGAAAAATCTGCCTGACTCATTTAAGCTGATAATAAGAACAAAACACAGGATGTGTGTGTCCTCCTTCCTTTTCTGACCGCATTTAAGCGTTAAGATTTTGAAACCTATAATCATGTAATAATTGGGTATCACTATAGTCTCTTCCCAATGAAAAGCCAGGATTTTTGAAGTTTGCCACAAAGACAGACAAAAACAAATTGGCTAAGTGGTATTGTCATTTCTTTGCTCCATTGTTTTAGGAGAACCCAAAAAAGACTCTAGTCGCCAAACTGCAGTTACTGTGCCAGTAATCACAAATGATCTTTCCAACAGCATCTCTGGTTAATGAGCTACTTTATAGGATAATAAATATCACATTTCTCCTAGTGTTTGTCAATGTTTATCACAAAAGGAAGAAAACACAGTTTAAATGTTCAAACTGACTCAAAATCAGGGTGCCCCTCCGTCAAATGTGAGCAAAGAAGTCTGTCTCACTGGTCCACAGGAATGATGAAATGATAGTTTCAAAACCACCCCCTTTGATCTCCAAGTATGTAACACCAGTATTATGTTAAAACACTCTATCTAGCTTCTTTTTATAAACTTCTAAAGAGACAGTCCATCCGCACCCCAGGTTTTTGAAGTTCGTAAATACAGTACTAGTTCTTCTCTCTACTTCATGTCATGGCGCTCTAGAGGTAAACTCTACCTAATCTCTTCCTTTTTCACTTTTATTCTTGTTCTGGATCTTTTTTTTCTCATAAAAATATCTTGAAAGCATATACCATAACTATGCCAGAAGCCAGCATACCAACAGAACCTATTGCCTTTGTTCCCTTCTTTTAAAAGTTGGGCGCTCGTGTTATTTCCATTCTCCTTGTGGCCATGAAACCAGCAAGAGAACTCAACATCCCAGGAGGGAAGAGCCTGCATAAGAAGCGAAGGGAACAGCGCTGCTGGAACACAGAGGTGAATGAGGCAGCGGGGTCTTAGGTGATCTCACTATGAGCTCATCTCACCTGCTTCTCCAGTGGTTTTACTCATGACCACTGGTATGTTCCTGCGGTCAGGTCGAGGGGCAAAACTGCATTTTGCACTTTAAAAAAATGTCACCTAACTGGTCATGTCTTACGTCAGAAAGAATTTCAGTTCAGTACATCTCCACGCGTTCCTTCAAGATGGCCCTTCCTCTCCACACACAGCTTTCAACTCTACATGAAACTCGTCGGCGCAGCATTGAAAAATGAAAGGTTGGGTTTCTTTAAAACAATACCTTTGAGAAAGAACACTGGATGACCTCCAAAAGAAATGATTTGTGTCCTAGAAAGAATTTTTGGTTTCACACCTGGAAGGAATGCATATTCAAAGGGGATCTATGGCTGATGCTAAGAGGAAACCACTAGCATAGATTCTAGAGCCCAACATGAGGCACCTGAGGGCCTGTGAGGTCAGCTCTCCTGGAGTTCACTGGGGTCAGCAAGCTGAGGTCAAGTTGCGCTATCAATACTGCCCTTCTTCTGGGAAGCAGCGTCACCACTCTTCTACCACATTCTGGAAGTCTGGGCATACATATGATGGGGAAACCAGTTAATTCTGCTTTTCACTCAGTTTCACATGGAATGAAGTCAGGCTCCAGTATGCTTTTCAAAAAAGTCAGTAAGAGCCTTACTTTTGGGGCCCGTGGTATGCAAACAAATGCTATTATTTCTTAAAAAGGTTTCTGCATGGAGAGGCACACTTATTGCCATGAAACAGAGACAGGCCATGGCATGGCTTACCTTGCAGGTTGACTCTGGAGACAGGAGGCTGGCTAGCAGCTGGGGACCTCCTGTGGAGACAGAGAGAAAAGAAGACCTGAGTCTTTGTCTGAATATCCTCTCTCGGCCTCCCCATGATCTCTGGGGAGTTTTCCAGGTCACAATGAGCTATCAAGTGACATCATGCTTTCTCCGGAAGGCAGGCTCCTGTAACATGCGTAAATGACTGCAATTCTCTCACATCCAGATGGCCTGGAATTTCCCTCTGCGCAGCCTCCTGGATGGGCAACACTCCAGGAAGGAAGTCCTTTACTCCAGGTCCCTCACCGGCTCCTCTGTTTCAGGTTTCCCTGTTTCAGGAGGCCCTTAGAAGAGGATATCCTTGCTCAGGAATGGTACCAAATGTGAGAGTGAATCCCAGCCCCTTCGGGGCTGTGCTGTAGAGAGTTATAGCCAGAGGAGCACATAAGAGATCAATCAGTCCAGGCTTCCCGTTTTGCATCCCTGGTCACACAGCTACTAGGAATGGTAATTCCTAATTTATCTAGCGGTCTTTTCATGGAGAAACTGGGCATTATTCTACAGCATAACAAACTGCTGATGTCGAGGCAAATGAAACAAGCAAACCTATTCATGCCAGCGCGGCCCCAACACACACACACTGGGCCTGCTTCTCCTTTTCTTCCTTGTTTTTCTGTCTTTTTTTTTTTTTTTTTTTTTAATATCCCCATGACCCCCGGATTTTGCTGCTTTCACCATCCTTCTCATGTTTTGCAGAACTGCCAGACCCTCCCAATGCATTGTTGGAGAACCTCCCAGAAATAGTACAGAGCAATGGATTTTAAAATGCAGAGTGCCTCGATCCCCTGGAGGTTTATTGAGACATTGCTGGGTCTACCTCCAGGTTTCTGATTCAGTTGGCTGGGGTGGGACTGAGTGTGTGCATTTCTGCTAGTGCCCAGGTGCTAATGCTGCTGGTCTTGAATCACATTTTTAGAACCTCTGGTACAGAGGACTCTCTGCCCCACTAAAGAGCAACAGGATTATTAGCAAGGAGCAGGAGAGTGGGACTCTAGGCCTGTAGGTCTCTGAACATGGATGACGTCTGACTCACTTGTACAGCTTTAAAAATTATGAATCCCTTCCCTGTCTCTGGAGAGCCTATTTTGATATATGTGGGATAGGCATCTGTAATTGGTTACTTCTCTGTGAATTCTTATGTATAGGCAGGTTTTGGATTAAGGCCAACTTCTAAATGATAGCAAATAGATTGCAAAGGTATTGTGAAGGGAAGGTCTCCCTATAGGTATGAGCACATAGTTATTTCCCTATGTTTGTTACTAACTGCTCCAAATTCAGTTTTGGTCCCTTAGGGGTAATCTGGTTTCTAGGCAACTATATTTCATAGCTGCAGGGTCTGATGGACAGCGTTCACATCCCTCACATTGATTAGCTAGGTGATCCTAGGAAAGGTACTTTTAATCCCTCTGTGATATGATTGGGATTCAAAGCTAAGTCTTTTAGAAACCAAAATGCATGCACTCTCCACAGCTGCTAACGCCTGCACTGAAACTGAGGGGCTGCTCTTCAGGAAAATTAAGAGATTAAATGTCAAACTCCATAACCTGGCATTCAAAACTCTTTGCTCTTTGTTCTCAACATACTTTTCCCAGTTTATCTCTCAGGATTCCTCCCTGCCTGACATTTCATTTCAAACCACGCCATCTTGTACTTCACCTGCGTAGCTCTCTAAAATTGTAATTAAAATAAGCACTGTCCAATTAGTGTTCAATATAGAACGCCTTCATTTAACGTAAACTTGATGCAGGCAGGGAACAACATGTTCTCTACTGGATCCCTAAAACCCAGAGTGGCCTTTCATATGCCTTTCATATGCCAAGCACTCAGTAAATAGTTGTTGAATGGATGAATGAATGAATGAATGAATGAAATAACTCAGAGGTCGCTAAAGCCAAATGTCATCACTTCTTTGGCCTTGGCCATGTGCTGTCCATCTTCCTGACACTGTTCAGCCATTCCTCTGAGAGGAAAGCTCTCCCCGCACAAGCTCACACTTCTAAATACCATCTAGCCTTCTCTGATGTGTAGTAAGAAATATAAATTTGGTGGTCTTTCTCCTATGGCCCCTGGAATTTCCTAAACGAGAAGCTTGACAAAGGTGTCTTTTGTTATGTTAATGAGGCAACTTTTGGAAAATCCCTGAGACTGGATGCCAAAGGAACCAATCTTGTGATTTGAGAGTTGGAACTTTCAGCCCCGCCCTGGACTTCCAGGGAAGAGAAAGGGATTGGAGATCATGTTCAGTCACCAATGGCCAAGGAATTAATCAATTATGCCTTTGTATTGAAGCCTTCATAAAACTTCAAAGGCACTGGGTTGGTGAACATGTGGAGACTGTCAGGCTCAGAGAGCATGGGAGCTCTGAGCTCCTTCCCACATACCTTGTCCTACACAGGTTTTCCCATCTGACTATTTCGAAATATATTCTTTTCTAATAAACCAGTAATCTAGTAAGTATTTTTTGTGAGCCATTTTAACAAATTAATCAAACCCAAGGAGGGAATGATTGGAACAGTGGATCTATCGTACAGCCACCAGGTTAGAAGCACAGGTAACAACCTGGATTTGTGATTGGCATCTGAAATGTGGGGTAGAGGCAGTTGGGAGGACTGAGCCCTTAACTTGTAGGATCTGACACTATCTCCAGGAAAATAGTGTCAGAATTGAGTTGAATAATGGGATGCCCAGCTGGTTTCATGGCCAACTGCTCTGATGTATGGGGAGAAAAACGCATACAACAAAATTGGTGTCAGAATCATACTTCCAAAGATCAAATGCCATGTCCTCCAACAGAGTTATCCTCTTAAGCTAAAAATGATCTTTTTCCTAATCTCCTATGGTGCTTTATTTGTACCTTTAGGATTATTATCTCCTGTTATAACTCATATGAGCACATATTATTTCCACCACTAATTAATGCCCCATTGATGGCAGGATTCACATGAATGTTTTATCTGTAGAATTTTGGTTCTACATATTATTGGCTGTTTCTCATACACAGCATGCACTTATGTTGTTGGGCCCTTGCATATGTTTAGATCAGCTGAACACTTTCCCCTCCTCTTTAAGTGGCAAACTCCTCATGTTCTGGGGCTTCACTCAGGCATTACCGCATTGGAGGAGCCTTCCCGTTTGTGTTCAGTCTCTGTGCTAATTGTAGTTCCCCATGCTTGCCCCGTTATAGTATTACTCATGCTAGATCACAATTCCCATTTTCCTGGCTGTCTCCTCCGCTCACCTGTAAGACATTTAATCAAAGATTGAATCTTGTTCATCTCTGTAACCTTGGAATTAGCAAAAACTAGGCATGATATAGGTATTCATTATATTAATTATATATTAATTATATATATTAATTATATATTATATATTCATTAGATTAAAATCCTATCTAATAAAAGAGTAATATGCAAATTGACTATCACTCCAACACACAAGATGGCCACCCCATGTAGTCAAATATGGCTGCCCCCATGTGGACACAAGATGGCCACCACGTGATGGCCTGCAAGGGAGGGCAGTTGTGGGTGATCAAGCAAGCAGGGAAGGGCAGTTAGGGGTTACCAGGCCAGCAGAGGAGGGAAGTTGGGGGAGTCCAAGTCAGCAGGGGAGGGAAGTTGGGGGAGACCAGGCCAGCAGGGAAGGGCAGTTGGGAGGGACTAGACCTGCAAGGGAGGACATTTGGGGGGGCGAGGGGCACAGGCCATAAGGAGTTAGGCATTGATCAAATTGGCAGGGAAGTGGTTAGGTGGTGATCAGGCTGGCAGGCAAAAGCAGTTAGGGGCAATCAGGCAGGCAGACAGGTGAGTGGTTGAGAGCCAGCAGTCCTGGATTGTGAGAGGGATGTCTGACTGCCCTCAAGGGGACCCAGATTGGAGAGGCGGCAGGCTGGGCTGAGAAAAACTCCCCCTTCCATGCATGAATTTTATGCACCAGGCCTCTAGTATGTTTATAATAATTTTATTTTACCTATCTTCCTGAACCCCAAAGAAGGCTTTTGTAAAAGGAATGAACTAAAAGACCATAAATGTTGGATATTTCTGCTTTCTTAATAGCATAGCTACTCATAGCACCTAATTCTCCCAATGACTTCTTAAAAATTGTAAAAATAGCATTAATTGCTTTGCCCTAGGAGTTAATTTTAAAGCTATAGCTTTCATTCAGAGTTGTTAATTCCGATAAGCATCTGTGTGTTTAATCTATGAAAAGGCAAGAGCCATGCTTACTTGGTTTATCACTGAGACTTGGTACAAAGAAATGGCTCAATGCATTTTAGATGAGTGAACTCGATACATTTTAAATGATTTCTGGAGGCTGCGTTATGGCTTACAAGACACAAGAGTGCCAATTAGAAAACAGCAAGTGCCAGATGAAAATGGCATTGGCTGCTCAGTTTCCAATGATCCCTAACTTATGGAAGAACCTTAAGAAGTGATATGCCTGCATTGTTGAAGACAGTGACATTAATAGGGAGGATAATGTGACCCCAGCAATGAATACTTTGCAGCCCTGAATAGCACAGTAGAGAAAGAACAGAACTATGAATAAGAAGACAGGGTTCCTAATCATGGCTCTGGCCCCTTCCAACTGCATAGCCAAAGGCAACCTACTGCACCTCTCAGTTTCTTTCCCACTTGGGGAGAGCCAGCGCAGCTAACATTCACTATGAATTTACAATGTGCCAGGTCCTGTGTGAGGGGTTTTACATACATTTCCTCACTTACACTAAGGAAATTTAGCTAGGTTCTTTCCAACTCTGAATGTTCAAAATTTTATTATTCTCAGCTAATTTCAATCCCATGCCAAAGTATATAAAGCAATGAAAGGAACTTCAGATATACACTGAAAAAAAATTAAGTGCTTATTAATTCTTTCTCAAAGATTGCATACATGTTGATTGAATTATACCCTGGAAGAATGTTACTACAGAACTGTCACATGATTTTCTGTTAGTCATTGGTAATATCTGGGAGGCTAGTGACACTATTGACTCATGGGGACACCTCTTTGCTCCCTGCTCTACCCCCTGGACCCCAGACTGCAGAATGGCAGGCACTCTCACTCGTACATGTGATTTTTCCACCAGCCTGTTTGAAGGCAGCAAATGCTTTAGGAATAATATCTAAATTAACAACACTAATTGAAAGCCATATTTTCAAAATTAACTCCTGGGACAAAGGAACTGTAGGTTTTAATGTGAAGCCAAGAAACACAGGCCCAATCAAGCATTCCTCAGTGGAACATTTCATGGAAGTGTAAAGAAATCACCTCACAAGAAACACTGAGACTTTCCCCCTTTGAGTAATAAAGCTCAGACAGACAATGGAATGCTTTCAGGCAGAGCAAAGAGCCAAAAGATAAAGAAAATCTTGACTTATGTGGGAGTTCCTTTTCATATAATAAACCACACTCCAGATATCTTATGAAAACCACCCCAAAAGACACATTACTGCTTGAATATTACATTGAAGGCAAGTCATAGCACCCTGGAACCCAGAGAGCAATTTCTGAGTTCCATGAATCTTATGTGTTCAGTTGTTAGGATAAGTATATCTGTGGGGTAAGGGGGTTGGGGAACACACTCAGGACAGTGGATCTATCCCTGGTGGATATTATAATAGGTTTTCTTTATCTGTTTGAGAGTATTGACTACCTAAGAATAAAACGTAATGCATTATGGACCCTGCCTTGAACTTCTGTTGATTTCAAGGAGGTACTTGAAATCAATTAAATAAGCTATTCTGTACAAATATGGGTATGGATTTGAGAAACATCATTCACAAAGATTGCACAGCTAAAATTCTATTTTATTTAGTGAACATGGTTTGGTTGGAACCAAAGATGATATAAAGGGCCATGATTTGGGAGGTGGTCCTCAGTCAGAGAATGAGCCCTTGGTGAGCTTTGAATATGGCAACTCAGTTCCTGAAGGTTTATGTGGCCCAAAACACCCAAGACTATAGAAATATCTGATTCTCAAGAAAGTCATTTCAGCTGAGGTAGTCATTAATCAGCAATGTTTATGCTCACTAATAGACCATGAACAATACTAAGAACATCCAAGCTCCGTGCTAACAAACTAATAACTGAAAACAAACATCCCTCTGATACTGCACCCTGACCTACCCCACCCCCCTCAGCCCTAACTCCTTGAAGCTATTTAATGTAGTGATCTTGAGTCATGATTTGCTAAGAAGCTTTTGGAAAGTATATTTATTGATTCCTTCTTTCCCAATTTTAACCTTCATCATCTTGGTCCAGGGCTTCACTCTCATATTTTAATTCCTTAAAACATTCTTATAGCTCATGACTCTGACTTCATGCTCTCTGACCTTCATTCTATTTTAAGTTCTTCCTAAATGGCTCTCTGTTACAAAGCCTTCAGAAATTTCTTCCCATAACTCAGAAGACTTAACAGGAGTAGTAAATGGAAAGACCACTGCAATGAGAGTCAGGATAACAGGTTTCAAGTATGAGTCTGCTATTCATGAAAAGTAGTATGTTCTTGCTCAAGTCATTTAATCTCCCTAAGCTTTGTTTCCTTTTTCACAGTGTGGGGGCAACAATATCTGTCATGAATTTCATTTTAGTGATTGAAACTAGAATAATGAATATGAAACCCTATAGTGTTGCCTTATTTCTGGAATTTGGGAGAAACATATAACAATTCTATATAATAAAAGTGTAGTATGTAAATTGTCCCCTCAACTGACTGAGAGTTGTTGGGGAGTTTGACTAGGGGGCGGGGCCAGCCGGGGAAAGGAAGGAAGTACCTAGCCAGCAGTGGCTAGGGACCCTACCAGTATACAAATTTCATGCACTGGGCCTCTAATCAATTATAATAGCTCACATTTATTGAGCATCTACTATGTGATGTTATAAATGCTTTATAAGTGTCAACTCATTTAATTCTCAGAACAACACTATTTTACTGAGTGGGAAACTGAAATGTAGAGGTTCCTTTGTCCAAGTCACATAATTTTCAAGCCATAGAATTAGATTATAAAGCCAGTAACTATGGCCCCAAAGGCTATACTCTTAAAAAAAAAAGTAGGAAAAGATATCACTTCTGAAAAAGTGTTTTTCTAAATAATTGGTGGTTTTTCTTGGATAATTATTTAGCGAGAACTCATATGTATGATGAATATTTATTAGGACTTACTATGTGTCAGGTATTCTGCTAATTCTTGGAAATCCAAGGAAAAGTAATTGTAATTCTCAAGGGGCACATTGTCCAGTGGTGGACAGAGACCCATAAGTGGTATGATAAGGTTTGTAGAATGATCTGGGAACACTGAGGGCTACTCAGCCTGGCTTGGTGGAGTCAGGGAGAGCGCTCTGGTGAAGATGATTCTAGAGACAAGCTATAAAAACCAAGCAGGACTTAGCCAGGCAATCACTGGTAGGAAGAGAGAGAGATTTTAGGAAGAGAGAACAGTAGGCCAGAAACAGGGTGGAGAACCAGGACATGAAGAGAACAAGCAGACCATAATTGTTAGAATGTGATCCCATGTGGCTGGAGACCTGGTCTGACTGTTCACCATGGTATGTCCTGGCACTTGCTACTACAATAAAAGTCTGGAAGTGTCAGAGAACTATTGTGTCACCAATGACTTGTACAAAGTGGGTGCTCAATAAATATTTCTTTTTAAAAAGTATATTTTTATTGATTTCAGAGAAGGAGAGAGAGAAACATCAGTGATGAGAGAGAATCATTGATCAGCTGCCTCCTGCATGCCCCCTAGTGGGGATCAAGCCCACAACCCGGCCATGCGCCCCTACCAGGAATCAAACCATGACCTCCTGTTTCATAGGTCAATGCTCAACCACTGAGCCATGTCAGACAGACAATAAATATTTCTTAAATACATTTATATGAATGAATCAATAAATACTTGTTGGGTAAATTATTTAATAAATGACTAAACAGAGAGTCCGAAAGCAAAAGAAGCTGGGAAGTCTCTAGCTTTCATGTATATTGCATCAAATATAAACCCAAACAACTATCCATCAAACTAACTTGAGCTGGATCATGAGGTGCCTTGGATGCCAAGTGTCCACATTGAAACTATCTGAATGATAAGAGAGAGCTGTGGAAATGCCTCACGCTGAAGAGACATGTGGTTAGATAACACGTGAGAACAATCACTCTGGTGGCAGTTTGGGGACTAGTTTAGAGGGGAGAACATTGTGGGGAAAGATTCCACTGGGTTATGCAGAGCTCCCACAGGAAGTTCTATAACAAATTATAGAACAGTGAAATAAAAAGTAAGTTTTCAAAGCAGGGTCTCCTCTCACCTTTAACAACTCCACTCCATGAAAAGGTGGATAAAAGTAAAATAGAGGATTGATGAAAAATTTCGCAAAGGCTAAAAGTCAGGGTGTTCTGTAGCCAGCACTGGCTGGAAAAATCAGGATATTCAGGATTTGGCTGTAGTATAGCTATAACCTATGATGTGGTTGTTAAGAAGTCTGGGTTTTTCCTCCTGAAAAACAAAGAGGTTGAATAAATGGCCTCAAAGGTCTCCTTCAGCCCTCCTATTCCAAGAACATGGTTTTGTGATCTTGTGAGTCCTATGTTGACCTTTAAAAATACCGGATAGTGAACTGCCTAGCACTTAGACAAATAGGGTGACATGATTTTAGAGGAGAAAGTTCCTGTAGGCATATCAAATTCAATTTTACAGATAAAGGGGATGAGGTTTAACAATGTTCACTGAAATGACCATTTTTATGTAGTCATTTGGGGGGAAAGGAGAAGATAATAAAATTGCATGAACTTGTTTACATATTATCAAAATATAAGCTACTTGAATTTGAACTTTTTGATATTTTTAATCTAAAGTTGAATCTCTGAATTCGTTAATAATTATTTCAAAAGAATTTTAATATAATTTTTGGCCATTACTGCTAAGTATTCATACTTTCCAAAGTAGCAAATATAACAGTCAACAAAATTCTCATTTCATTCTTTCATTTGGTAAGGGTACAGAGACAAATAAATCCCAGGCAAATTTCTAACATTTTACCAGTTCTAAAATTCGATGATACTCCATCTTATTTTAAAATGTCATCCTGTGTCTTAAATTAGGTTGGGAGGCAAATTTCCATGGAATAGTTTCTTGTTCGTTTTTAAGTGCTCTTCAGTGGTTTCGCCTCAATGAAACGGATTCCTAATTCCACAAAAAGCCCATGCTTACTTGTTGGATGTTCCATGGAGGTTTGTCAGTAGAGTGAAGTTGTTTCTCACACTTCTCAAGCTGGCGAGGACCTAGAAGAACAAGTTTTCAAATGTTTAGAAACAAAAGGAGATTAAATGGGAGCATTCAGAAGCCACACTTGAAACTACACCCAGAGATGAAGGAAGAGAGAGCCAGGGCCAGCATGATACATACCTGGGCAAAAGGCGTTACAATCAAGTCATCTCCATGTCTGGTGGAAAAAGAGAAAAGCAACATTTAATCATGCATTTGAATGATAACTGTGGCATATAAGCTGCCATATGACACTTTATCAGTCTTAGCAACACAAATGATATGCTGAAGACCTTCTACCTAGATATAAGGCAGGACTGCTTTCAGCATACATGGGGATCTCAGGAACTTGAAGAAAAAAATCCATCATCACCAGTTCATGGCTCCTAGACTTGTGGTGACTACACATGAAAGCATTTGCAAGTAAGCATATATCCTCAGGGTATAGTTCCATTAAACAGCAGACCTAGAGGACTGTAATTCAAAGTGACTTGTGGGTTGCCAGAGCCAGGAAATTCAAAGGGAGGACTGCTCACAGGCACATAGAGAGTAGGAAAAAAATGGCATAACAGTCTGGATAAAGGTTAACTTTGGATTTCCTGGCTTTTGTTGATCTGAACCGCAGCCTTAATGCCATTTAAACACAGATTTCTGTCTGCAAATCCCATTACTTTTTTGTTTTTAATATAACTTTTTTTTTCTTAAAGTACCCAGGGAAAAGCTTTTAATGCAAGTGTACTGACTGAACCTACCATTACCATATCGTTGTTGTTCATTTTGTCCCAAAGATCTGATTAAGCTGTACCTAGTATTATGTAAATCTGTACTTGGGAACGGACAAAAGTGTGTTTTCAGAAATGTATTCTCCCTCTGCCATGTGCTTTGATGATAAGTCTACTTAAGCCCACCTGCAGCAAACTCTCCATTAAAGTTATTAAAAGACAGTCTGCCTGAGCTGAGACACAGAACCAGGCCAATTTGCTATCACAGCATGAATCATAGCAGCCACACACCAGTTGGTTGACAATGAGTTCCTTCACTGTCTGTCCTCATGATCAGCATACAAATATGGCCCTTCTTAGTTAATTACCAACACAACCAGCAATTATTAAGCACCTGCCCATTAACAGGCCTTATGTGAGGCCTGGGGGTGCCCATTTGAACACTTCTGTGCATGAGCGCCTCTTTTTAAACACAGGCTTTTACTTCAGGCTCTTATTTAATATAACATTTCCCCTCATTAGCTTTGTCTTACCTAGAAGTCCCCTTTCAATTCAATTGAGTAAGCCTGTTGCACATTAACTTTGTGATTATAAAAATAATACCGACAAGCATATGCATGCTTTGCATGGTTACCATATGTCAGGCCCTGTGCTAAGCACTGTATGTGCAGTATCTTTTTTTCAATGCTTGTGACAAGACTTAAGGCAGGTGCCCTTAATATATTGATTTTATAGGTGATATCAAGATTCAGAGAAGTTAAGCAAGTGCTTAACTAGATCATAAGGAATAAGTGAAATTACTTAAGACTATTAGATTCCAAAAGTCTGTGCTTTACATCATTATGTTTCCTATTTTACGGTGACACTGCCTAGCTGACAGATTGAATTACACAGAATCTGTGACTACAAATTAAAACAGAGGAGAGGAGACAGAAAAATATCCCAAGAAAAAGAGGTTCTTTTCAGTTTCAAAAATGGGTATCTGGGAAAATAATGAAGTCATGAATAGAGATGAAAAAGTGTGGAGGAACTGGTGAAGGAGTTGTGCCACTTTCCCACATGCTGGGTTTTAAGATATTTGTGGAAGACATGAAGCAGGAAGACTTAACTATGGGAATTAAAGTATAGATTTAGGAGTGACCTACAACCACAGGGATTGTGAAAGAAATGGCAGGGATGGCTTCCTGAGGTTAGGGGACATGTTTAGAGAGAGCCAATGGAAGACCCTTGGGGTTCATGGGAGGAGCCAAAGAAATGAGCAACCCACAAGTCACTTTGAATTAGTTTTCTGTAAAGCAAAAATGCTAATTCTACTGCTATATTCTAGATTTTATTAATTTCTATATAGCCACACATAGAATTTTACTTGTATTTTCTTGTAACACTGATTTTAGTCTGTCTTATAGAGAAACATATATTAGTATAGGCCTGATGCACGAAATTCATGTAAGAGTAGTCCTTTCTTTCTCTGATCCATGCAGAGTGCTACACTGCATTTAGGACTGCCCCTTCCCAAGCTATTTTCTTGAGATGAACTTCAGATGGGTGCAATATCTTGCTATGTGTTCAGATTTTTGCTGTGAAGTTCACATTGTTCTGAAGACATTGGGTTGAGTTGGGAATAAGGTCATGGAGTTAAGTAGATCATCTATGGCTCCTGGATTTCTGGAGTCAACAAAAGCTAAATAATATAAGCAAATCTCACGCCTCTGTAGTACCTAAAGCTGACAGACATAGTGTTGCATAATGAGGAGTTACTATACTAAAACTGCACAAACTAATGGTTAAAGGGCGGTAAACAAACATTAAGAGGACTCCATGTCAACCTGGCTATTATGGAATTTATAAAGATTAAGAGAGCAGAACATTCAGAAGCTGAAGATGGACATGCAGATCCCCAGCACTGGCTCCCTTAAAGAGATATGAGCTGCAAAAGCTAATGCTGTATGTCAATAGCTGCTAGATAAATGATCAACTATTTCATAGGAAATTATAGCAAGAACAGGAAAAAAAACAAAGCAAAACAAAAAAACTCATATTTGAGTTCAGCTGGATGATTTATGAAGCTACTCTAAAATTTTAAATAAAAATTTTATGTTAATCATTAAGAATAAATGACATGGAAATAACAAACTACTTGATGGATTATGGAAGAGATGTATTTAGTTTCCCAAACCACTAGAGAGGGCAGTGACTCCCAAGGAGGCCAGATATTCAGATCCATGGCACTATCACCATCTAGTGACAACACCAGCACATTACAATTTGATAGAGTAATTGGAGATGAGAACACTGGGTCTTAGAATTGAGTGTAGGTCTATTTAAACAATGAAATAGTTTTCTGTAAAGCAAAAATGCTAATTCTACTGCTATATTCTAGATTTTATTAATTTCTATATAGCCACACATAAAATTTTACTTGTATTTTCTTGTAACACTGATTTTAGTCTGTCTTATAGAGAAACATATAGGCCTGATGCACGAAATTCGTGCAAGAGAAGTCCTTTCTTTCTCTGGCTGCTGGCATTGATTTCCATCTGGCATCCAGGACTTGGACTTCCCTCGCAGCCCCAGCTTCATCCGGAAGGTCATCCGGAAGGATGTCTGAAAGTATGTCAGTCTAATTAGCATATTACACTTTTATTATTATAGATTATATGGAGCCAGCCAGCATTGGTTTGTTTCTCAATGGCTCTATTGCTAATTAGGAGACATCAGGCAATTGCTTGATGCCTCAATTTCTTCCCCTGTAAAGTGGGATGCAACTGTTAGTGCTTGGCACATAAAAACTCTTCCATTATTAATAATTATTCTTATTGGTATTTGATGTTATTACTATTATAATTAAACAATTGAAGGTCTGTCTTCCTAGAAGATTAAAGACTAATCTTCTTTAGATTAATCATGTCTGCCCCCATCACACTCAAGGGAACTATTTACGTTGTTCTTTACAGTTTACAAAGCATCTTCATATACATCATTTCATGTGATAAGAGAATGTTCTTGGTCCTTGGGAATAGTGCAACCACTTATCTTGTTGGTCAAGACTGGAACCTCACAGTCAACCACAATCCCTGCTGATCCTAACTTGAAAATATTCAATAACTGCCCACTGGATTGCTTTAAGCTAGATCTCTATCCTCTGTTTTGTGGATTACCAAAGTCTTCCATTTGACTCTTGTATTCTAGTCTTTAGGTTTGCCAACCCTTCCAAATAGTCTTCATACTGTAATCAGAGTTATCTCTCAAAACAATCCCTCTGATTATGTATATTCTTGCTTTAAAACTTTTAGTAGCTCCCACTGCAGCATAAAGGCCAGCTCCTTAGCCTAGGCCCTGCATGATGAGGTTTTCTAGCCTCATTTTTCACTATTTTTTTCTTCCGCTCACATTCTTGGCCTCAGTCACACTGAGCTGTGGTTTCCCACAATGCTCCTGACAACTGGAGAGTTAGCACAAGGTCCTTCCTCATTCATCATCTTTTGCTTTGCTAAGTCTTTCAGCTTAGCTATAACTCCTCAGCCTGGGCTACCTGCCTTGCCTGGCTAGGCCTCTCAAAGTCCTGTGCAAACCTTTCTAGGATTGTCCTTACCTGAAAGCATTAAAACTGTCTATTGACTTACCAATTTTTATTTTAACCTCCCTGGAAGATACAGATGTTCAATTTGTTAGCAAAATGCCTACATTCAAGTTTTTTTGTTTTTGTTTTTTGTTTTTAAGAAACTATGAATATGATCCTCATAATATCTGGAAAGGTAGTCAGAGGTTAATGCTATTATTTTTATTTTCATCCTTCTTTAGTGTCTGTTATGTACTGGATATCTTGTGGTTTAACTGCCTAGACTCCCTGAATTTAAACCTTGGTCCTACATTTATTGGTCAGGCTACTTAATCTTTCTGTGCTCCAATGTCCTCATCTTTAAAATAAGAAAATTATAGTACCAGCCATATTGGGGTTATGGGATGTGGGATAGTATTAAGTCTAATAATTCAAGTCTTAGACATCACATTGCATTTTTGGGTAGTCAATCAATCAGCAGGGAGGCTGTTATTTCTGCCTTTCCTCTTGATTGTTGGGTCTCAGTTCTCTTGACTATTCACTCTAGAGACAACTCAGTGCTCACATAAATGGTGGCTTTAAAAAGTTGAGAAGAAATACTCGAGGGTTTAAAGTAGGGAGCAACAAGGCCAGTCCTATACAAGGATGGGGAACATTTTTTTCTGGCAAGAGCCATTTGGATATTTATAACATCACTCATGGGCCATACAAAATTATCAATTTAAAAATTAGCCTGCTTAATTTGGTCAAACATTTAATTAATTCACCCACAGTGCCTTGGCAGGGCCAGACCAAATGCTTTCTGGAGCATCATATGGCCCTCGGGCCAGACACTCCCCACACTTGCTCTATTTTAATTCACCCTGAAGAGTAATAATTGAATGCAATATCTCCAAAAGCATTCCTCAGTTTAACTCAAGATACCTGGGGGATAGTGGATTTTCCAATATGGTCCTTGTAAAATAAAATGCCAGATGAATCTGGATATTATTCACGCTCCACTTCTTGTTTTGTTGAGAAATATAATTTCCTAAATTTACAAATATATAAAAACTTTCATATAATGTTGAAATATTTGCAACACCAAATGCTGTGCTATTTTTATTCATGCAAAGATTTTAATGCATCTTATTTTTAGTGTCTATCAGAGGAGAGTATTATGTTGCCAACTTTTTTTTTCTTTCTTGAGATGGGCTGTTGTTTATTATGAAACTGTGTCTTCCTATTTTTTATTTTAACAATTGAGAATGATACTAGATAACATGTACAATCCCTACTTGCCTCAATTTAAAGTTGGCAATACCATGTTAGTTCTAAAATTTGGGAAACAGTCAAAACCGGTTTGGCTCAGTGGAGAGAGCATCAGCCTGCAGACCGAAAGGTCCTAGGTTCAATTCCGGTCAAGGGCATGTACCTTAGTTGTGGGCACATCCCCAGTAGGGGGTGTGCAAAAGGCAGCTGATGGATGATTCTCTCTCATCAATGTTTCTAACTCTCTATCCCTCTCTATTCCTTTCTGTAAAAAATCAATAAAATATATTTAAAAAAATAAATAAAATTTGGGGAACATTTTGCTGCTTGGTGAAACTGAAAAGAGGATAAACCATTAGTATCAGGGACTCTGAATACAAAGGCATTCAGAATTAGAGTTTGTTTCTGCAGCTATAGACTGAATTGGACTGTGATCATGTAGGTCTCTTGAACTTCAAAATGTCTATAACCTTTTGATTCTAAGTAATAAATCATCAGAGTTTAATCTGAAGTTTGATTAGAACCTTCTGAGAAGCCTCAGGAATGAACCTGAGACCCATCCTGCTGCTTGGCATGAGTTTGGGGAACCGTTAGCTGCCTCCCAAAGATAGTCTTTCATCTGTGAGATGCCATGTGAATGAGCTCTGATTATTTCCAGCTCACTAAATACCCTGTGCTCCCCACACAGGAAGACTGGAAAGGTGTTCCTCTTAGTGGAAGAGAGAATTCCAGGTATATTCACTGTCAACACTCTCATCCCTTTGGTCAGAAACTTCCTTGGTTCTATATGATCTACAGCAAAGTGGCTACTTCTCTTCCAGCCTCAGGCACCTCAAATGTGCACCCATCTGTTTTCTACCTGGTAGTAGAGTCTACCTTGTAGTTTGAAGAACATAGGTGGATAGAGTCCAGTAGTTCTGAATATGGTCATCAGACATAGCATGGCATATTTCATGGGAGAGGGAAAGGTTTCTCAGTCTCTCAGAGTCTCAGTTTTGTCATTTATACAGTGGAGACAATAATGGTACCAACTGACAGGATTGTCGTGAAGATAAAAGAGATAACATATGTCAATGCACCTGGCTCTTGGTAAGCACGCATTAAATGTTTGACCTTTCTCCCAGTAGGGTTATGTGGGTGTTCCTCTTATTTTCCTTACTTAACCTCCCTGACAGCATGTAACCTTTTTGAGAATATCTCTTGTTGCTTTATTAATTCATCTGTGATTTTCCCACTGTTTTGTTAATTTTTAAAAAAATGTATCTTTATTGTTGAAAGTATTACAGATATCCCCATTTCCACCTATTGACCCCTTCCAGCCTTCACCTGCCTCTCCTCTTCCCCAGTATGTGGTATACTGCCTGTCACATAAGGGAGATTCAGTAAATATTTGCCAAGTGAATGAATAAGTGAATTTCGGCCTACCAGAATATTATTTTAGGGCAGGGGTGCTTCTATTAAAATTGGTTAGCACAAATGCCCTGGGGAGTGTTTTCCTACTGGTAGCTTTTAAATGCCCCCTGCCCCTTTCACAAGACGGTGACCCTTTTAGCTTCCTTTCCAATACAGGAAGAGAGCCCAGTGGAATTTTCCAGGCTGGCGCCTGAAGGGAGCTACGAATATTTTTATAACATATGATGTGAAAAACAACTGTACATGTGCCCAGAAACCTTTTAAGGCATGCATTTCAGCATCCAATTTTATTTGGTTTCGAAAATTTAATAAACAAGTAACACAATTCCACCATTGTTCTTTAAATGAAAATTAGAGATCTACAATTAATAGCAGCAAAACAGAACACGAACTGTGCTGAATGAGACGGTGGAGTGTGTGTGTGTCGTGTCTCACCAAGGAGCTGGGCAACAAGTGGGCATCGTGTCCATGTTCCAGAGAAAGGACACAGACATGTGGCTGGAAGGCAGACGATTAAATGTCACCCAGCAGAGGCCACTGAGAGAGGATGCATGTCACCAACCATCATTTGTCTTCTCTACTGTAGCCTCATGTCGCACATGCTGTGGAAAAGTTAAGTGTGATTTGTAAAATGTGTTAAGGTTCTCGTCTTTTCATAAACGATATAGCAGTTCAGAGAATAAAGCTGAAAAAAAAATCAGTAACAGATGTGAACTGAACACTAGGCCTGAGGTGTGTGACACCCTTGGAGACCCTGGCTCTAGAGCATTTAAGTCCTCAGGATGGTCATCGCCATCACCTCTGCTCACACTCATTTTTCTCCTTGTTCCTCCCTGCGGGCTAAGGGGGAAGTGTTGCTGCTGCTGTTGAGACAGGGTTAAGGATGAGGTCATAGTGAGACTGGGAGCAGGCGGAGCTGGTACTCACTGCTCGCTGGGAAGGGAAGAGTTTCTCGACATCGCCTTTGGTGACAGGTCATAGTCGCTGTCCGATCTGTAGAGAAAGGACTCTCTGCGCTGGCTGTGCCCGGGAAAGGTGGCATGAAGTACCAGCCCAGAGGAAGAGCTGGCCTGGGGGTCCAGCGGGCTCCGACCTGGGGAAGGACCATTTTCCACATCAAAGCTGAAAGAGAGAGCAGAAAACTCTGGTCACATGACAGCGTGAGGGAGGGCGTCGGACACACAGACAATGCACACTGACGTATGCCAGGCAATTGACGTGAAACTTCACACTGTATGGAAAGTTTTAATCCTCTCAGCAGCTTTGAGTGGTAGTCATTATTATTCCCCCTTTGCATAAAGGGAACATTCCCACAGAAACTCAGTCACTAGTAAAGAATAGAGCCAGGATTGGAATCCCGGAGCAGAGCAACTTTGCCAAATTCAAAATGAGAGTCGACCACAAAATAACTCGGTGCTGATAAGCAGCTCCGGAGGCAGCGCTAACACAGGTCTGGGTGTCATACACTGAACCATCACTTGAATGAGTCTTCCCGCCAGAGATAACTCTCACAGTGTCATTAAAGAGGCAACACCTGTGTTTCTGAATATTGCAGGACAAAGTGCTATCCTGAAATTAACCACTGGCTGACTAGCTAGGAGGTCTGATCTGAGATTTAATATTCATATGCAAGGTTAGCCACAGAGGGTGACTTAATCTGATAATGTCAAATTACCCTCTAGGGCTGCAAAATTTTATCTCTGAAGGAGGGTACAGCCACTTGCTCCAGCAGAGGTGTGCCATTAAGATTTCTGGTCAGTCTTCCTCACTGGGGGTAGGTACCCTCAAGCCCACAATTATTTGAATAAGCTCTGGTTAATGAACACACAGGAGCAGCAGAGATTTTCTCTGATGTCCCCATCCTGGTATTACCTGAGGTGTGGTGTATCCTTCCCATGCTTCCCATCATCTATCATCTCCTCTACACTTTCCTTATGTGCATCACCTCCCTGAGCCTCAAAGTGACAGTAACCCTCTCACCCAGCATTTCTCTAAAATACGCATTGCTCCCCAGGTAACGCTCTGCAGGCAGGTGCTGGAGAAGGTACAGGGCTGGGAGGTTCTCTTTGCCAAGGCAGACCACAACAGTGGGCTTCCTCTGTACTCATCCAGCTGCCATCACTTACTTCTACATGCGTGGTTCTTTTCTCTCACTAGTTCTTACACCCTGCTCTTTTGGGGTGGGTTTTGCTTATATTTCTTTAGTTTCCAAATTGCTTCCTAATTCATTATTCCACTTACCCCCTCACCACAACCCTGTAAATATAGATCCCACTGTACATTTGAGGGAAATGAGGCTCAGAGAAATTTTAAATACATTGCTCCGAGTCACAGAATGAGAATTGGAACCCCCTCGTCTCCCGACTCATTTCTCCACTCTGGTCACAGAGTTCCAGAAAGCCCTGCTGGGTGACAGGGTGCAATTCCCCTCCAGTCTCTGGATTGAAACAAAATTATGTTTGGTATGTGGAGAGTCAGTTGGATTATGAGCAACCTTGGCTGTTATCTTGAATGAGACAGGGAAGGCAGCAAACTACCCTGAAGCTGTAGGTTTTCTTGAAATAAGAAACCTTTTCGCTGAAAGGAGAAATGACAGAAGGCAGGGCTAGCCTGCTTCCCCGGAGACCATTCTGAGAAGAGGCTTCCGCCAGCCCACAAACTCTAGGTGTCTGATAAGAAGCAGTTAGCGAGAGACTCCCTTTAAAAGGTCAAGGAAAGGCCATGGCAATCCAATACTCATTTGGGCACCCGAGGCGATGCAGACAGGTTTTCACAGCAGGCTATGTGGCTGGGATGGGCTGCCCTTCACAGACTGTGTATGAGCAGGCAGGTGGGCAGTGGTTCACACATACCAGCCTATGCTGTAAGTCCTGTGAAAATATAGCGAAATCTGACTTCCCTTGGGCAAGATCTGTAATAGTTGTTGAGCAAAATGCAGAGCTGGTTTGATGATAAGGGCTCCTTCGGGCCACTGGGATCCTGTAGAACCAGTAGGTCCTGACCTCTTTTTGAGGACCAAGAGCGTAGGTTCTTCCAAAGTGAGAATGGGACTCCATAAAGCTTAAGGGTGGGCATGAGCTGTGAAACTTCATGAGTGTCGATGCCGCTATTCACGTGGTATGTATCTGTACAGCCTTTACGGATATTGAAACATCGAGATGCTTCTGTACCAGCTGGCAGCCAGGCCCTCCAGGTGACTATGACCGTGCAGGTGATCTCCTAACGAGAGGATTGCTGTCTGGAGCAGCACGGGCCTCTACCTTCAGCACTATTGCTACCTTCAGCCTGTGCCCATTGAACTGGTGAGTGCCCATGAGGTACTAGTAATGAAATATTACGGATATCACTGCTGTGTATGTATGTATCAAAATCTCGGAAGAGGTGCCCAGTGGGTATGCCTACCACACTCTCAGAACTTTTTCCAGTGAGGGTTTCCACCCGGGTTCACTGTGCTCTCTTTTCTGCCAGAGGTATTCCTAGTAGGCAGAAAATAAGTCCACAAGGCATTCTGCCCCCAGGGTCAGGATCAGGAAAGTTTGGTCTTGCCAGGTAAGCAAGGATTAGATCCAGATACCAAAACTCTCTCCATGCTGCCCCCTCCTCCCCCACTTTGTTCCTTTCTTCTTTACCCTGCCTGAACTCAGAGAAGAGCTTGCTGGAATTCAGAAGAAACCAGGGAAGAATTCTCTGGTCCAAAGAAGCCGTCTCAGTGAGACAAATAGCCTTTCATATTCCCTGGGGCACTGTTTCAAAGCAACCAACACAGATGTACAACTTAGGAACAAACATGAATCACCAACCAGACACCAGCCCCAGTCACAGCAAAATTAGCGCTCAGACATCACAATGCGTCCCACAGATCCAGGGTGGGAGGAGGGGGGTAGGCAAGGGGGAGACTGAGGACCCATTGAAGCCAAGTGACTATGCCACACAAACGGAAGTGCAGTTCGACAAGAAAATGGAATCTGAAATATCAGAAACAAACACATAGATGGGGTCATTGTTTATTTAGGCTAATTTCTGCCTCTGCCTTAATCCAGCACACACATTTCACCTTTAGGTTTCTTTACACTAAAAAATATTACAGGAGTAATGTAAGAATGTTATGTAAAACATAGATAATAGAGGGAGAAAAAACAACACTGCCTTTATTTGTAGTTGAGATTAATAGTGAAAAAATACTGCCTTTATTTGCAGTTTAGTGCTTTTCCTTCTGAACATTTCCCCTGCAAGACTCGATCTTGTCTTTTTTTCACAAGTGTTTTGCATTGTAGTGCAGTTTCCAGAATTATCATTTTTCGTGGGCTACTTAATGGTTCATCCAGAAGCTATAGCATCGTTTCTAGAGCATTTTCCCTTCTGTTGCCCCTCATACTTATGATTTGCAACAACATTACAGCTTATATCCTTGAGTTTATAGCTACTTCAGAAGAGGCAACAGAAGAGGTATTTAGGTCTTCAGAAGAGGCCACTCAGAATTTCAGGTAGCTTATGGGAGGGTGTCAATCATGAGTTTTGGAATAGTAGACTGTACTGCCAGGAAGGGGTTGTCCCTATCCAGCATAGGGACTGAAATAGTTTTGAAAGTGACCTTTTTTTTTTCTAGGATCAGAGACAGCCTCCATCCCCTGTCCCAGCCCTGCTCTCTGAGGTCCAGGATCCTCTAGGCTGCCCTCCCACGAGATTCTGCCTGCTCCTTTCTGCTTCGGATGAGTGCCCTGGACTGGTCCATGGCTTGCTGCCTAAGAACTAATATTTTAACAACTTTCTCCTGCTTTGTTTCCAGAGTTCTCAGCTCCTTGGAGGTAGCGGTGGCAGTGGTTGATGCTGTGTATGAGGACTGGTGCTCCCTGTAACTGGAATGCCCTTCTCACCACTGTCTCCCATATCCCACTGTCTTCAAAATCCAGCTCACATCACCTCCTCTAGTCAGTTTTCCCTAACACTGCGGCCAGTTCTTTTTTTTTTTTCTTTTTTTTTAAAATATATTTTATTGATTTTTTTACAGAGAGGAAGAGAGCGGGATAGAGAGTTAGAAACATGCACACTCCCTACTGGGGATGTGCCCACAACCAACATACATGCCCTTGACCAGAATCTAACCCAGGACCTTTCAGTCCTCAGGCCGATGCTCTATCCACTGAGCCACACTGGTTTCGGCCACTGCGGCCAGTTTTAAGGAGGCACATGCTCCTCCTCTGTGCTCTCCTGCACTCCTTTACTGTGGGACCTGCTCCTCTCTCCTTTATTCTCCAGTTATTTAGCTGCTTCCCAATAGATTCTTATCTCTAAGAGAGAAGGGACCCAATGTCACTCACCTTTGTGGCCCAGACATCTGGATCGGAGCCTTGCAAATAGTTTCCAACAACTGTCAGCGAACCAACCAAAGAATACTGTAATTTATTGTGAAATTCCTTTCCTATCTCTTCTCTCTTCCTGTCTCCTTACCCTTATCTCCATTCCCAGTGGCCTGAGTTTCTGATCTTCCCTTCAAATGAGTCTATGTGCATTAACTTATTTGATAAGCCTTGTGAGTCAATAATCTAAAAATCCTACCTAATAAAAGAGCAATATGCAATTTAACCATTACTCAGTTCAAGCCACGCCCATCAGTCATGCCCACCAGCCAATCAGAGTGAGTATGCAAATTAACACCAACCATGATGGCTGCAGCCAAAGAGAGTAGTTGAGAGGCTTGGGTTTCCCCAGCAACAGAAGCCAAGCTTTCCACACACCCTGGCTAACCTAGGCCTCCACTCAAGGATACTCAATTATAGAAGATATATAAAACCAAACAGAAATGGCTAACGGCCACACCGCTCCAGGCTACAAAGTTTTAATTGTAGAAGGTAAATATATCACTTTGCTGAGTGAAATAAGCCAGTCAATGAAAGAGAAACACCACATGACCTCACTCATTTAAGGATAATAAAGAACATTGTAAACTGATGAACCAAAAGATAGATATAGAGACAGTAAAGCAACAAGTAGACTGTCAAATTACAGCAGGTAGGGTAGGGAGATCTGGGGGAGATAAGAGATCAGCCGAAGGACTTGTATACATGCATATAAGTACAACCAATGGATACAAAACTCTGGGGAGAAGGGTATGTATGGGAGGG